TTTAAAAATGTGAGCAATATACTACGGGAAGTTTCTTAAATTCTTGCTTATTATGGAAAGAAGTCTGAAATTCTGTTAAAGGACATAGTATTCTTGTATTTTAATCCCATAATGATTATAAAGTATATTTTTAGCAGCATTCACTAATAATAAAAGAATATTACTATTACACACATATATGTATATATGTATATACACGTATATATGTATATATATACACACACACATGTACACACATATATTTTGAGATGGAGTCTTGCCCTATCACTCAGGCTGGAGTGCGATGGCTCAATCTCAGCTCACTGCAGCCTCCACCTCCCCAGTTCAAATGATTCTCCTGCTTCAGCCTCTTGAGTAGCTGAGACTACAGGTGTGTGCCACCACACTAATTTTTGTATTTTTAGTAGAGATAGGATTTCACCATGTTGGCCATGTTGATCTCGAACTCCTGACCTCAAGTCATCCTCCTGCCTTGGCCTCCCAAAGTTCTGGGATTACAGGTGTGAGTCACTGTGTCCAGCCATATTACAAATATTTTTAAAGCTGAGATATTTTCAACTCAGTTCCATGAACAGTTGTCATTAAAATTTCTTCAGGAATATTGTTCTATGTCATAGAGCCCTCATTTATTTAACAGATAGTATTATTAGGTTATCATATGTCAGATGTTGTTGTAGGTGTCGCGGCTATAATCATGAATACAAGAATGTAATATTTGTTCTAATGAAGCTAACTGTCTAGTGGGAATAATAGTGAAATAAAGCAACAGTTAACAGAGTGCAGGGATGAGCTTCTTGGCATAACATGCCTGGAAGGTGATTCCGCAAGAATATATGCTTCAGATGTAATTATTTTTAAGCAAACTGCTATGAATTGCTCTGTTTTTTAATGTGAATTAGAGTTTTGTTGCATCAATCTTAAGGGTGTCTACTGTTTGCCAAACACCTTATTAAGTTCTTTACCTTCATTAATCCGTTTAATTCACACTAATGGCTGCTTGAGGTAGATGGCATTACTCACATTTTGAGAGACTAAAGCTCAGAGGGGTAAAACAGCTGTCCCCTGGCCACACTTTGGCAGTGATTTCACAGAGCCTGTGATCTTTACACTATGTTCTATATGCTTCCCAAGTCACAATTTTACCACATTGTGGAATAAATGTGTTCTATTGACTTATCAAAATTCTAGATGACAAATTTCTTTGTAAAGATTATGTATAAAAACATTTTGACTTACTTTTAAAAAGCCTTAAGCCAAGTGAGTTAGTTATTTATTGCTACATAATAAATTATCCCAAAACTTAGTGGCTTAAAACCTTAAATTTTTGGTGTCTACTTTAGTTTCGGAGGTCAGGAATATGTGAGCAGCTTAGTTCTGTGGTTCTGGGTCAGGGGTTCTCAAGTGGCTGCAGTCAAGACATCAGCTGGGGCTACTGTCTCATGTGAAGGCTTGACTGGGCTGGAGGTTGGAGGCTGTGGCTGTTGACCGGAGGCTTTAGCATCTCACTACGTGGGCCTCTGGAATTGCTGCTCAGGTCATGGCAGCTAGCTTCCCCCACCAGTCAATGATCAGAGAATGTGTAACTAGATGGAAGCTACAACATCTTCTATAATCGAACCCAGACAAAACTGGGTCTGGGTCTGTATTAGTCTGTTCTCATGCTGCTATGAAGAAATACCTGAGACTGGGTAATCTTTAAGGAGAACAGGTTTAAATGACTCATAGTACTGCATGGCTGGGGAGGCCTCAGGAAACTTGCAATCATGGTGGAAGGCACTTCTTCATAGAGCAGCAGGGAAGAGAATGAGTGCAGAGCAAAGGAGAAAAAATCTCTTATAAAACCATCGGATCTATGAGAACTCACTCACCATCACCATCACAAGAACAGCATGGGGGAACTGCCCCCATGATCTAATCACCTCCCACGAGGTCCCATCCCCAACTTGTGGAGATTACTTTTGGATTACCATTCAAGATGAGGTTTTGGGTGGGGACACAAAGCCTAACCATATTAGAGTATAATCAGGATAGAGGAACAATACAGCAACTTTGACAGGGGAGTTTAACATAAAGAATTACTAACCATTGAAAGGAGACTGGAATAATGAGGGATGGACTAGTAAGTATAACCTACTCTGAAGAATATGCAAATAGAAGAAACAAAAGACAACCATGACTTCTAGGGCTGAGAGAGCCTTCAAAGAAGAATCCCCTACCAGGGCTGAGAATCAGACTTCATTGAGCAGGTGTGACTATGAGTCATTGAATGTCAGAGAAGTCTCTATTGCATTGCACTTGTGGAACCTACTGGAAATATACACTCTGGAACTTTCTGGAAATCTCCCAAGGTTCTAGGGAAAGCTGTTCATGAGGAGGTGTCTCACTGGAAACACAGAAGTCATCTACTCTTCAGGATCTCCTGCTAAGCTGCTATACCCCAGGAGCTGAGAACAGTTGGAGTTGGATGCTAGAGAAGCTATCCTTATTGTAGGAGCTGGGCACTAGAGAAGTCCTGTATGGTTCAGGAGCTTACCAAGTGAATCCACTAGCACCAGGAAGTGAAAAACATTTCCTTTGGAAAAGTCTCTTCTGCACCCTCTGTTGAGAAAGCTTGACATAACAGCAGGTGGCAAAGAAGGAATATTTAAAGCGCTCATATCCATTTCCACAGAACCGGCAAAAAGGTGACTTTGGAGCTGAGAGGCAGTAAACTGATAACCAGCAGAGTAAGATACCATCACTTCAGTTATATTTCATTGGTTACTCAGATTATCTCTGGTACACTGAGGAAGGGTGGAACACAAGGATGCAAACACCAGCAGGCATTGATCATTGAAAGACCATCTTAGAGGCTGGCTACCATAGTCTACCCTCTAGCACACAATGACTCACATTCCTCCCACTTGCGAAATACTCGGGATTAGCTTTCTATCAGTACCATAATAAATTACCACAGATTCAGTGGCTTAAGACAAAACAAATTTATCTTACAGTTCTGTGGCTCAGATTTTGGGTGGGGACACAAGGCCTAACCATATCAGGGTCTAATCAGGATAGAGGAACAATACAGCAACTTCAACAGAGAAAGTTTAACATAAAGAATGACTAACCATTGATAGGGGACTGGAGTAATGAGGGATGGACTAACAAGTATAATCTACTCTGAAGAATATAAGAATAGAAGAAACAGACAACCATGACTTCTAGGACTGAGAGAGCATTCAAAGGGCTGAGAATCAGGCTTCATTGGAGAGCATGTGACTATAATTCACTGAATGTGAATCATAACTTTGTGACATGGCTCTCACAAAGCTAAACTCGAAGTGTCAGCAGGGCTGTGTCCCCCTCTGAAGGATCTAGAAGAGAATCCCTTTGCTTGCTTGTGAAAGTTGTTTGCATAATTCCATTCCTTGTGGGCATAGGACTGATGTTGCCATGTCCTTGCTAGGAATTAGCAAAATGTTGTGACTATTTATCACAGAAAACAGAAATCACAAAATTACAGTTGAAATGAGTTCACCTCTGAGTTTTAAAAATAACTTGGTCAATTTATGTTCAATATTTTTACATGATTTATAATGGAGTTTTCATAATTACTCAATTAACGTGATACACCTGGCACAGAAAAGACATACTGTGATGTTAGGAATTGTAAACACACTATGAAATACAACTTTTATGAAAAATATTAATGAATGGTAGAAATTAGTTTCATTTGGGCAAAAATATTGGATAACTTCTAATTTATTGGCCTGTGAGTATTAAAAGTTTGATTCTTTCATATACTCTTTAGTTTTAGTTTATTGTAAAATACTTTTCTGCCAGAAATTGTTTGTATTTTATAAATTATTAACAAATTCATCCCATTTCAAGCAACAAAATGTCTGTCATTGCAGTTTTTCACTTTCATATTCCCTTTCAAATGATTCCATCTAGGTCATAGTGACCATCACTTTTAGTTTGTTTTAAGAAGTACAGCACATAAGATTCAGTTGTGTGATGATTCTATGTGATGATGAATGATGGAATGATGAATGAATATGGGAAATTAATATGGAGGGAAAGCCACAGACCATTATGTAGAGATAATAAAAAGGAAAACCCAGTATGATCTTTAATCATTTTTAAACTATCATTTTGCATCTATATTTTCAATATCTTTCAAAACAACAGTTAACCTAAAGTATGAGTTATTATTATATTTGGGAAGAGTCAGAGTTTCTTTTGAGAATATTATAAAAACTTTGACCACTCTTTCCCCCAAAATGCACATATGTGCAAACATATGCATTTAATTTCAAGCAATTCATGTATCTCCTAAAGCCATAAGCAGAGTTTATGTATGTGCTTCAATATACCATGGACTTCAAGTTAAACATTATTAACTGAATATAAAAAGGGGGAATTGATAATAATACCAATATCTTACTGCTATTATTGATTAAAAGATAATGTTTTTCAATGCCAAGATGTGCTACACTGCAACAAATTCTTTATAATAAACTTTAGTCCCAATATGGAGTAAATGATATTAAGCTGGACAATACATGGGCAAATATATATTTTATATTTCGTTGAGTGTCTTCTTTTAGGTACATTCTTTCTATGCCACACCAAAACACTCCTCCTATCCCACCATATACACATATTTATTAATTATCCAGTTTACCAAATGTAGAAATTAGGCTGGACAGATTAAGTAAAACTTCTTTAGAGATTTTGTGTAATAATGGGGTCAAAGATTTCTATGATGTCAGTTTACTTTCCTCTGGGCACAACTTGTCTGATGACGAAAAAACGAAAAAGAATGAAATAAAAAGCAAAAAAGTTTCAGATTCACTAATAATAGTGTTGGCTTCTGCGTGAAAATTAGCTCTGGAAAGAAAGTGCAACATAAAGCAAGACAAGCCAGGGCAGAATTTTGCACATTCCAGTGAAAGTTTTCAGGCAATTCTATCCATGGATATACCCTTAAAGGATGTGACCCAGGTGAGACTTACCTGCTGAAGGCAACTAATCCACAATGAGCAAATTATCCTGCCCTGGAGGGCAAGCTATAATATTGGCCCCATGCTTCAGGAAGAGAAAATCATGTGTTCCTCGAAGAGAAGGAAACCAGGGGCTAGCAGAGGCTTGCCTAGAAATGGAATTGAAATATAAACTGAGAAGTTTCAGTTGATTTAGAATAGGAGGGTGTTCCAATGACCTTACAAAATGTTTCTGACAGGCAATAGATTCGAGTAAGAGAACAGCAGTGGCATCACACAAAAAGGAATTTAACAAATGTTGGCACTTTCATATCCCCTAGGGAGATGAGTGATGAAGACGAACTTCAAAAGTTGGAACTGGTTTGAGTCCAATATGGCTGGAATAGCTTAAAAAGTAAAGTATAACAGCCACCTAGTAGAAAATATTTCTTCTTCATTCCCCCAATAACTTTCTTCTTTTCACAAATGTGTGCATTTGCAGACATATATGTGTGCCCCCCACCTCCATTCACAAACTACATAAACTTAAGAAACTAAACAATGCTGATCGAAACTTCCTGGTTACTGAATCCAAAGGACAAGGTTCAGCACTTCTACGTAATAGGTGTATTCATGGATAACAAGAATATAAATAAACTGCCTTATAAGATGATTTAATAAGTGTGTGAATATCATAAGTATATAAACAAGTGAGGCTGAAGGAGGTATGTTTGTACCTTGGAAATTTAAAATGCTGTTATGTAGTTATCTTCATCAGATTATCTGAGGGAAATTGTCAAATGAATAGAAATACCATTTTAGAATTTAGACATGGTCATTGAAATTTTTGTTGTTGTTTTTTTTTTTTTAGTAAACCTCAAGGTATTGTTTAAAACCAGTGTGTCTATGTCAAATAGATGACAGATAGGGGATCATGTTGTAAGCATAACATTCCAGCTCTGTGTTGACACTATTGAGAATAAACCACAAATGGCTCAACAGGTAATGCTCATAATGGCTGACCTTTATATCAACTTTTTACTTTCTGTTTACCTGGTATCACTATATAGACTTCTAAATGATGCCTAGTCTCTAATAGAGCAAGTTACAGCAGTCAGAGAAAGAAACAGTGCCGTGATGTTAAATTGTTAATATGGAACCACTAATATGCTTTGTACAGATTAAGTCTTCATTCCAAATAGGTCAATTATTTTCTTACTATTATCAAAGAGCTTATATTTTCTTTCTCTTTTTAGCTTTATTTATTTATTTATTTTTTATTTGTATAAATATATGAGGTACAAGTGTAATTTTGTTACATGCATAGATTGCATGGCGGTAAAGTCAAGGCTTTTAGGGTTTCCATCACCCAAATAATGTACATTCTTCCCCTAAAGTAATCTTTTGTCATCCAACCTCCTTCTACTCCTTCACCCAGCTGATTGTTTCATAATAACGAAAACTAGGCTAACTCAGGTGCAGACATAAATACACATATACATACAGATGTGTACACACAGCTGTTAAATAGGCATAGAATTTTCATATTTAATTTAATAAATGTTTAAATATTTAATTATTCATAAGGGCCAGAAGATATTACTTAGAAACTTCAAAACAGGGAAAAATATATTTATAATATGTCTCCACATTTGATTATGTGATTTTATCTGCTATGTTAGTTTAGTTTAAAATGTTCACACATAAATATTTTAATGCCCTTATATTCATCTTTTATGGAACCTTCCTGTTGTTTCTTAGTTTATCCACTAAAAATCTCCTTTAAAATGTTGTGGACTTCCTATATATCAAATTATGATCAGATACGTTAGATTATTTGTCACAAACATAATTATAAGTGTCACAATTATGGTCAAAAACCTCTTCTAGACAGGCACTTCCTTATGTTGGCTGTGAGCTGGGATGACGTGCAATAATGCCCTTAAGATTCTTAGAAGCCTTTTGTCCAGACAAAAGCACCCATGAATCACTGACTTAGGTCATTCTGAGGTCTTTGCAAGAGAACTTCCAGCTTCATCTTTGATTTAATATTGACCCCAAGGCCAAGTTTTATTGGCAGCCTTCTATTTGTTTCTTTCCTTGAAGTCATTTCTTCCCTTGAAGGTCTTTTGCTAACTGAAGAGATTTTCTGAGCATTTAATTAAATTCTGATTTTAAAAAGGACCCTAAACGGTTCCTTCTTTAGCCTTATTTCTCTCTTACAATACCTTAAACACAGATAAAAGAAGACAAATAACACTTTTACCATCCCTTCTTGGAATCTTCTTATCCAAATGTTCAGATTTTAGGGTACCTTTCCTGTCTTCTTAGTTAATGTGGGCAGCAGTTTCACTAATTTTTCTGCCACTACATAACGCAGGTTGCTGTTTTTCCAGCCTCCGAAGCAATTTTCTCACTACCTTTCCAGGCTCTACTAAACAGCTTTCTGGTCTGTGTGCTCCCCACTCCTAAAGCCAATGGCACATATTTTAGGTTTTGTTATAGGAGCACATCACCTCTTTGCATCAACTTCTGCATCCATTGTTTATTGCTGTGTACAAAACATCCCAAAATTACTGGCTTAAAACAATAATTTGTTGTTGTTGTTGTTGCTATTTTATAAGTGAAGAATTTGAAAGAGGTTCAGCAGGAATAGCTTAGCTCTGCTCCACAGTGTCCAAAGTGCCAGGTAGGATGGCTGAGAAGGTTAGGCCCCTCTCCTCCATTGCTGTCACCTTGGACAGTTCAGCTGGGGCTGGAGGATTCAACGTGGACTTACTCACTTTCTTATACCTTGATAGTCATCCTTTGCTGTGTTTTCACATGGCAGAGGGAGCCAAGGATCTCTCCGATGTCTCTTTTATAACGGCACTAATCCCATTCATGAGGACTCTGCACTCATGACCTAATCACTTCCCAGAGCCCCGCCTCCTAATGCCGTCACACTGGGAGTCAGGATTTCAACATATGAAATCTGTGGGACGAACATAAACATTCAGTCCATTGCAGTGGTGATGGTTACACAACTCTGAATATACTAGAACCCACTGAAATGTACACTTTAAAAGAGTAAATTTCATGGCATATCAATTATATCTCAATAAACCTATTATAAAAATTAATTCTAACTTCTTTATGAAGCTGTCTTTTAATGTGGCTACTAGAAAACATGAAATTACATACGTGACCTCCATTGTATTTCTTCTAGGGGTGAACTGTTCTAGATGACCAAAAGGCAAGCATTTTATGGAAGGCAGTGGTAGAATATTTCAGTTCAGTGGTGAGAGTACAATGAGAAGGGAGAGCTGCTGTTTAAGAAGAATAATGTATTGGAAATGTTAACGATACTGCATGGATGAAACAAAAGATTGTGTTTAGAAGCAGATTTGTAGGAGGTGACACTTATTTTGGGAACTGTTCTGATGAAAGGAAGTATCTTGAAATCTACAGAAAAAAAGCTGGACAGTGAGTATCAAATTTGTACGTGCTGCTTTTCTGTTTTACTGGATGTTACAGAAAATGTTTCTATTTAGAAGACATTTCTTCAGTTCATTATTTTATATGATTGAGAGAACAGTAGCTAGAGTATGTTGATAGGATTTCCTAATATTTTGGGATCTCCAAAAACTTCAGAGTATACCCCAAAAATAAAATATTAAAAGAAGGCATTTGATGTAAAAGAGACCCTGCCATTAAAAAAAACTGTAGCATCTTATTTGGGTTGTGGTTCTAAGTGATTTTGGCTTTAATGTTGATCAAATTGTCTTTGTTTTTGGCCTATATATTATTTTATAAAATACATTAAAATAACTGAGAATATCAGGCTCCTGGAATGAAAACACGTAATACTCAGAGAGATATCTTATTAATAGAAACACTTCATCATTTTTAGGTAACTGATACAGAAAAACATTTTTAAACACTTGCTATAATGAAGTTTTCTTGTTAAGTCAATGTATTGTTTGAAATCTCATTACCATCTTTAGGATCTAAAGATGAAATAAATTAACCGGTTGGCCTCTGTAGCAAATTCCCGGCTTGGGGTGGGGATAGGTGTTTTAAACTTAGCAGTGGAAAAAGGGAAATAAATATATATATTTTTCTACTTTTTTTTTTTTTTTCTGTTTTTTACTTTGAAACACTTTAACTGCACGTCTTTGGGTCAATGGAGAATATGGAAATTTTAGGCGAGTTAATTTTTTTTTAAATTTTTGCAGGTACATACAGAGTAGGTCTATATATTTACGGGGTAAATGAGATATTTTGATACAGGCACGCAATGTGTAATAATCATATTATGGCAAATGGAGTTTCCATTCCCTCAAGCATTTATCCTTCATGTTACAAATAATCCAATTATACTCTTTTAGTTATTTTTAAATGTAAAATTAAATTATTATTGATTCTCATTACCCTGTTATTCTATCAAATAGCAGGTGAGTTTTGGGAAGTTGATTGAGCTGTTTTGGTTTCAAAGACCCTTGGCATTAAATAACCATTGATAAGCTATTTAGCTTGTCTTGTGTCTGTTTATCTTAAAAATAAGGTTAATAAGTGTTGTAATTATCCATGTCATTTAGTCAGGGATGTAATTTTTTGCCTTTTAAAAAAAGTATTCAATAGAAAATGATCTGTGCCGATGTTAGAATTGTTTCATTAATTGCCTGCCATCTCACTTTTTCTTCCACCTCCAGTTAGCTTGACAGTAGCAAGCTCTTGATGAAGTGTCAGCATTTAAGGAAATGCACAAACCTTTGTACTTGTAATACTTTGCTCAAGTCTGGATTTGCCCACTGTGCAAAACAGTTCTCTAAACTATCTGAAAAAAAAAAATTCCTTTAAAGAATTATAGATGATAGTCATTATTAAAGTTCAAGTCTATGTGACTTTTAAAAATAAAAATATATAATTTCCTCTCTGTTTACTTGGTTTTGAAGCATTAGTAGCATTTGTATATATAAAACAATATTTATCTATGATCATCAAAAATATGTCTGAAGGTGAAATTGAATGACAAAGTGAAATGAAATATTATATAGTATTCATGAATATGCGTCTCTTATAAAGCAATCTGCTTTAAGAAAGAGTATAAGAAAAATCACTATATTTATATAAGGCTCATGAAATAATTTTAAAGCTGTGTGTTTCATAGTATATGAGTTGTTTTAAATAATAATAATCCAAAATACAGTATAAAGCAATATTACTAACCTGAATTTCCATTTGAACCACAATGGTTCAATCCTTGAATTAATCAGATAAATGAAAACTGATTTTATTGGCTATAATGATGTTAATTGTTTATACTGGAATATTCATAGGGCATTTTAGTATATGTGATCTCATTTAATATATGTATATAGCCATTCCAATTGGCCCACTTTCATAATTTTCTCATCAATTGCTTATATTCTTACTTACAACCATAAAGACATTTTTAGGATACAATGTATGACATATGAAATGCTCCTGGTATATTGAGATCATTGTCATTTTAATCAATCAAGCAGGAAATATCTAAAGCTTCAACTTATGCTAAGCTGCTACAAAACTCCTTAGCCTTCCTGAATGAAAATTCATCAGACTCATACAATCCCAGCCAAAGCTAGTGCCCTCTATCAGAAGCCATATTACAACTCATTCTGAGACCTACTGATGTCCTCTTCACCATGAATCACCTTCGGTCAAGGACCAAAATGCAAAGTGGACTCCTGGATCCATCCTAGCTCTGGACCCTAAGACTTCTTCTGAATGCTGAGGTATCAAGAAGTGCTATTGTGTTACAGTGAAGTGAAGTAAAGATTTTGTACAGGTCTTGACTGAAAGTTTCTCTTTTTTCTCCTTACAAATATTTTTCCAATGGTGAATCAGTAACTCTAGGCTCCATGCTCTCTCAAATATATTAGGAAGACCACAGTATGTCATATTGAAAGAATGCTTCCTTGGGAATCAAGAAACAGGCCATAGTTTTCAATTTTATTATTATGGCATGTTTTTATATATCTGGTTTTACATGTTTTGTTCATCTGTTTTATGTTTCTGCTATTTTCTTGTATGCCCTGTTTCCTATAGAAAAGTTTGCTACACAGAACAGCAGCAGATATAAAAATATCGAATGATTATATTTTGAGTTTCAAAACATAGATCCAGCCATAAGATGAAAAGAATTGGAAAAGTGGTCTTTATTTTTTCTGACTGATTAAAGGTTTCCCAGGAAAGAAAGAAGGAGAGAAAATCCAAGGAGAAAGAGAACTTAAAAGCCCAGTATATTAGTCCATTTTCACACTGCTATAAAGACATACCCAAGATTGCATAATTTATAAAGAAAACAGGTTTAATTGACTCACAGTTCCACATAGCTGGGGAGCCCTCAGGAAACTTACAATCATGGTGGAAGGCAAAGGGGAAGCAAGCCTTCTCACATGGTGGCAGGAGAGAGAGTGAACAAGAGGGGAACTACCAAACACTTACAAAACTATCAAATCTCATGAGAACTCATTTACTATCAGAATAGCTTGGGGGAAACTGCCCCCACGATCTAATTACCTTCGACCTGATCCCTCCCTTGATACGTGGGGATTATGGAGATTACAATTAGAGATGAGATTTGGGTGGGAACACAGAGCCAAACCATATCACCTAGTTTTTGTGCCCATTCTTCTCAGCTTGGCCAACTTCACGATGGGCAGAGTAGTAGATAACAGAATCCCATGACAGGATTTGAAGATCTGAGAACAGAAACAATCTTTTTACCCTTTTTGAATAGAGACTAGGCTATCCAAAAGAACCTAGAGGGAAACAGATATGTGTTCAGTATGTATTAGGTAGAGGGGTCTGAAATAATCTCCTGGAGTTTCCACGAGCCTCTAGAGTTGGGTCAGAGAAGAGTAAAATTAGCACAGTCATCCAGGAGAATAGCACAGAGGTAGGAGAAGATTTTAGACATTCCAAAAATGCCCACAGGCACTTAGTGGTGTGGAATTTAACTAAGCAGTCTAGGGCCTCAGCAAACCTCACAGAATGAGGATGAAGGTGTACTCTGCTCCAAGGAAATTGGAGACCTTAGTGTATGCTTGCACTAACGTATCCATATTCCACGAATTCTTGTTAAAGCTTTGACTGTGTGTGATTTTTTGGACTCCAGTCTGATTTTTTTCTCTCATGAGAGGTTGCCTCTTTTAATCAATATCTCCTGGGAACATTTACGCAAATACCAGAAAGCTACTTCCATCTTCTTCCTTGCTAAAGGAAGCCTGATTCTGCTCAGGCCTCAGGTGACCACACATTTCAGGGAAAGTGGGACTCTTATCAACTCCAGCAGGTCCATATCAACATAGTGGTTCTCAAACTGTGGTTCCTTAGATTTGCATCATCAGCTTCTCATGATGTAAACCTATGAACATCATTGCAGACCCACTAAATTGGTAACCCAAGGGATAGGGCCCACAATCTGTGTTTTAGTAAACCCTCCAGGCTACTGTGATGCATTCTCCAGGTTTGAGAACCACTGGTTACGGATAATCATGGCAACTCCATTCTCCCAGTAGATGGTTGGTTTAAGATGGGTCAATGGTACAATTCCAGCCAATAAAATCCAAAGTGAATATGGGAGGGCTTTTCTGAAAGTTTCTTCACTCTTAAAACGAGAACCATGGAAGGAATGAGCCCTGCTATCCCTTTCTGAAATTTGAAATTATTGTTTGACCATGTGAGTTTCTGCAGCAATTTGTCTGACAATGAGGAGGCAAGTCTGCGGGTGAAGACGAGCACAATGAGGATGAAAGAGTAGGTGGATAGAAAGCACTTTGCTCTTGTTTGACACTGCCCAGCTCCCAGCCCCACCAATTTCTGGAACCTCCCTATCTCTGGATGTCTCG